CTTCTGCACAGTGTAGGAAGAAAAACTAAAAGGCAACATATGGAACAGGAGAAGATACTTACAAATGATATCTCTGAGAAAGGATTAGTATCCAAAATGTATAAAGAACTTCTAAAACTCAATACCCCAAAAATAAATGATCCAATCAAAAAATGGACAGAAGTCATGAATAGACATTTTTCCAAAGAAGATAGATGACTAACAAACGCATGAAAAGATGCTCAACATCACTCATGATCAGGGAAATAGTAATCAAAACTATAGTGAGTTATGACCTTCCACCTGTCACAATGGCTAAAATCAACAACACAAAAATCAATAGTGTTGGGAAGACTGTGGGGAAAAGGGAACTTCCTGCACTGTTGGTTTGAATGCAAACTGGTACAGCCACTCTAGAAAATAGTATGGATGCTCTTCAAAAAGTTAAAAAAAATAGAATTACAATCCAGCATTTGCACTAGCAGGTATTTACCCCCAAATACAAAAACACTAATTCAAAGGGGTACATGCATCCCAAAGTTTATAGCAGCATTATCTACAATAGCCAAATTATGGAAACAGCCCCCATGTCCACTGGCTGATGAATGGTAAAGAAGGGGTGCATATATACAGCGGAATATTACTCAGACATCTAAAAAAGAATGAAATTTTTGTCATTGGCAATGACATGGATGGAGCTATACAGTATTATGCTACATGGAACAAGTCAGAGAAAGACAAATATCGTATGATTTCACTCTTATGTGGAATTTAAGAAACAAAACAAATGAGCACAGGGAAAGAAAAAAAAGACAGGCAAACCAAGACATGGAGTCTTAGTTATAGAGAACAAACTGATGGTTACCAGAAAGGAGGTGAATTAGGTCATGGGTTAAATAGGTGATGGGGATTAAGGAGTGCACTTGTGATGAGCACTGGGTATTGTATGGAATTGTTGGATAACTATATTGTACACTTGAAACTAATATTACACTCTATGTTAACTAACTGGAATTCAAATAAAAACTTAAAAAAAATAACCCAATCAAACAAAGGAAAAAAGACAAACCAAAAATGGACTCTTATCTATAAAGAATAAACTGATGGTTACTAAAGGGGGGGGGAGGGAATGGGTGAAATAGGTGAGAGGGATTAAGAGTACACGTATGTGCACTGATGAGCAGTGAGTAGGGTATAGAATTGTTGAATCACTATATTGTCTTCCTGAAATTAATATAATAGTGTATGTTAACTATACTGGAATTAAGTTAAAAAAAATAAAAGAAAATTAGTAAGTGAGTCTTTTTCATGTAAGGTTGGGATGCTTTTCAAGGGCAGCTTCTGTGCTGGGCTCTTGGTGGATGAATCTGCATGCAGCTTTTTAAGAGCCATTTCTCGTTTGCCAGTGGCCCTGTGGATCTTGTGAGCATGAGCCTTATTGGTCTTCAAAGCCACTTGTTTTAGGTGTTGGTCTTAAATATTGGCATGCCTAAAGTGGCATACAAATCCTATAATACTCAGGGATAGCTGTGGGTTTTGAGTTTCCTCCCAAATGTTGGTTGCCGTGATGGGGATAGGGTTTATGGTGAGTTTGTGCCTTAGCTTTTCCTACCTGTTTTGATGTGGTTTACATTTCATTTGCTTGATGTGAAGCAGTTGCTCTGACAGTTTTTAGGTTTTTTTCAGAGGAAATTGTTACATATATAGCTGTAGCTTCAGTGTGTCTGTGGGAGGATGTGAATTCAGGATCTTCCTACATTGCCATCTTGAACCAAAATCTGAACAGAAAAGAATTTGATGAGAAAACACTGTGGGAGTGTTTAGAGTGCTTACTTTAATGGCAGATTTTGGGCTTAGAGATAATGTTTGCATCTTCTCATTTTTGTCTTGTCTGTCTTGTGATATTTGATAAGGTTGTCAAATAGGACAGAATTTGCATTTATTTCTCAGTTCAGAGACCATCTTGATATTCTCTTTCGACAGTTTTAAAACATTCCTAGGCGTGTTCATGGGTCAGATTTATTCATTGGGCTTTTCTTTTTATGTTTGAATTTTGTTTATAGTAAGGTAAAAATATTAACAGGATAAATTTAATGTCCAACAAATTATTTGGGACTTCTTTGCTTGTTTTAAATTTCCACTCAAAAGTTTGAACAGGTAAAATCTAGGAATGTTAAAATCTCTTCAGTTAGTTGTGCTTCCTTTCCCAACTTATCTTCAAGTGAGAGATCATTTATTTTGAGACATAGTCAACGTAATGAAATTGCAACACATTGAGAAAATCTCAAGAGGTCTATTTCAGTGATCAAGCATAGTGACCTGTTGGAACGAAAAATCCTCAAATAAGGTCAACATCTGATTTTTTTAAGTAAAATGTAAGCCTCACTTTAATCATTGTCTTATTTTTAATATCTTTTTATGTCAGCTTTATCTGCAAAGCAAAATTATTGCTTTTACTCTTTAGCATCTTTAAATATAAATAGAGAGAGATGGGGTGTGCTTACTAGGGATCTAACCTAAAGTACACAATAGATATTGTATGACCTCTCCTTGACAATTATTTGTTGTTGTATGGGAAAAATCTACTTAAATAAATGAATCATCATAGTTTGAGTGCTTTGAGCTATTTAGTATCAATAAATGGAGAGTGTAAGTCTTGATAATGAAAGGTCAAACTTAAAAATCTCCATTTCACACAAACTCTGGTCTTTCAGAAAAACATTTTGTGGTGATGTGTTATTGCTGGATTTTCTCCCTATTTTCTTTGGCCATGAACACATTGCTTGATTTTCATGTTTTTTTTTGTTTTTTTTTTGTTTTTTTTTTTTTTTT